GGGCGGTTTGAAACAATGAGAACAAAAAATCCCAGCACATCAGACACTGCAGATTAGCTTTTAAATGAAGCGCACGTTCGTTCAGAGAAACTTCCCGGATTTGCAGCAATGTGTCAGGAAGCAAGAGGCTGAGGTCTGCCCAGGCTCCCAGCCAAGACACCACTGGCTCTGCTTCTATGGCGAGGAGCTCCCCCCTTGGTACAACCTCCAGCATGGGATCAAGGGGACACGTCTTCTCCAAGGCCCTCGGGAATGGGAAGAGCCACCACAGCCAGTGGCAGCCCATGTTGGCCAGCCGGGAGTCCTGGCAGAGGCTATGGGTGACCAGGGTCCCTGGGGCTCAGTTCCACTGAGCTGACTTGCTCCTGGTGGGTCCTCAAGCAGCTGTGGATGGTGGGCTCACGTCCTGGTTTGGCTGTGACAGAACCCCAGCCCAGCCATGCCGGGCAGGCCATAGCAGTTTTGAGTCAGCCAGGGCAGCTGGCCTGAGTGAGCTACAGGGGTAGTCCCTACCCTAATGTCATGAACACTATAGAGGGGGAAGGTTTGCTGAGGAGAGGGGGCTCCTGTAGGATTTCTGGGCTCCTCAGGACTGCTGCATGGTTATTTGGCTGAGTATAACTTTCTGTGCCTTTGTTGGTAGTAGTGCTGTTTCATTAAATCTGTTTTCATGTTAACCCACGGGTCTCCTCTACTTTTCCCAGTTCCCCTTCCTGCCTGGTGAGGGGTTGTTGGGTGATTCAGCAACTGTTATAGTTTAGCCCTGGATATGGTCTAAACAGCTCATAAGAAAGGCTCATATAGCAGGTGAGGTTGAGCATCTCCCATGGAGCATCGCTGGCAGCTGAGGTGGCTCTTCCACTCCCTGCATGTCCCTCAACAGGTACGCAGCCCCCAAGGCCACCATGCGGGCAAGGCAAGGGGGATTATTTCTATGCTACCTTGAGTGATGAGTTCCTCCTCTCTGGGCTGTGCATGGGCAGTCACCCTGTGTCACTACAGAAGGGGATGAGGATGACAACTCCCACCTGTGCTCTCCCAACAACCTTCGCATGTGGCCCTGGCACCTCCACAGCCATGTCCACACCAGGTCCGGGGCATATTCCCTCCATGTTACACATGAGGGCAACCACCACCAAGCCACAGACAGCGGGGGGAGAAGCAGCTCCCCAGCCCTCCTTTGTGTTAAATTATTTACAGTAACAGATAGCACATCCCACGATGTAAGCTTTGATTTATGTAACAGGTTTATAGCCCTAACACCGTAATCATACTCCCCAATCTCAGCAGGTAACTGAGAGCTCCCTCGGAAATGAAGCTCCGACACAAACACAAAATAACTCAGCAAGAAATTGCATGGGGCTCCAAGCGGTAAGCAGGAGGGGAGCTGGGGCTGGAGGTCTGCTCCACACATTATTCATCCCAGCTCATATGCACATGTCTGCTCCCCCTCAGGTCTGGGGACAGTGTGTAAATAGATTTATGAGTAGGAAGGCAGCACCTTAAACAGTTTAAGTGTCTTGAGTCCATCCTTAAGTGTATTACTGCTCCAGTGTTTTATCACACTGTGGAGGACCGGTCTCCATAAATTAGACCCAGTGCTGTAAATTGCACCGATCAGAGTTTTACTCAAGAACTTGGATAAACAGTTTGTGACACTGGCTGTCACCCAGCTGTGCACCCATGGACCACCAGGGAGAGCAAGTCCCAATGGGGCTGGGGCTCTGCCCATCACCCCTGGCTTGGCTGGGAGAGCAGCTGGTGGCTGCTAGCAAAGAAAGGGAGAAGGGGGTATGTCCCCCAGCCTGGGGAACACGGGAGAGCCCAGACCCTCAGCATGGCTCCCTGCCTCTGCCTGACACAGTGGGGACACAGAGAGGGGTGGCTGGCTGGGTGTGTGGGGAGAGGGGTGGGAGGTGTTTAGGAGAAGTTAACAATGTCTAGGGATGGGTGGGTGGATGGAAACGGTGATAGAATAATACAGGCAGGTGGACAGATAGATACATACAGTGAATGAAAAACGTGTATGGATGAATGGGCCTGGTGATGGAAAAATCATGGCTGGATTTGAAGA